GTACCTTCGCCCCGTGGCTCAAGTAGGCCAGAGCAAGGAAGCTTAGAAATGAAAGCCATCACACTGTTGGGTGGGGCAATGCTCCAAGTGGAGTTGTGGCCTTGTTTGCTCTCAACTTCGATGTTTGGTTTTAGCTGGCCGTCTCTTCTTTCGGCGGGCTTCTCAACAAGACCTGGACATGTCTTAAAGATGTGGGCGATTCCCTGAGAAGTCTTGGCTGGTTTCCTTTGAACACTTTCATAGGGTGTTGGAGGATACTAGGTCTTCCTGGCGCGCCACAGGTGGGGTGTCTCGCTTGTTTTGGGAGAGGAAACCGAAGGAAGCCAAACGGAAGCCAAGCCGAGGGGGTCAGTTTTGTGTACAATCAAGTGGCATCAAAGGATCTGGATTCCACAGTCAACGGTGCAAGATGTTCAAGGACAGCTCAAGTTTGTTTCGATGAAGGCAAAAGGCAAAGCGGTTTTTTGTGAACAATGCATTTCAATGTGCTCTCATGGCAATTGGTTCCCAAAATGGTGGTTCTGCTTGTGGTTTCCCTAACCAATCTGAACAAAGTAACAAAGCGCAAGCCCACCAAACTCAAAGTTTGGGATGCCAGAATGAAGGTCAGTGGGTGCATATGTTGTACCCAGACCATGACCCTTTTTGGCTCATTTTCGAAGGACACCAGCACGTTGGAAGAGGCCTCTGGTTTGACCCAGAACCAGGATGTCCACGCCTCGGAGCCGAGGAGTGGTCTTGGAGCAGCCGCCAAGGCCGGCCCAGTGAGAGTTCCGACCGATTTCCAGGAGCTCCAGAGACTCATCTCAGTTTGGGGACCCACCGACATGATTCACTCCCCATTGGGGTCACTTCGACTTGTTTGCAACACATTCCCGTTCGCGCGTGCCAAAGCCAGGGACTTTTCATCCCGCCAAGCTGGGCATTTACATGAGCCGGAGGAGCCCCATACAAACCAAATTGGGTAAGTGAGCATATTGATAGATCGAATGTTCCCTGAGGCTCGAAGGATCACTACAGCTGAGAAGGAAGGGTTCGGACCCAAATTGCACCGTCTCAGGCTGCTGGTCCGCGGGGTGGCGCCGCTGTGTTTGGACGAGCAGCGCGTCTTAGAGCGAAAGTTTGGGTTTGTACAAGCCAACGGCCAAGCGGATATGGGCAGAGTTGTTTTGCGTTTTTTTGGCCAACCAAACATTTTGGGGGTTGCCCGAGACAAACCCACAACTCCTTAGACTGCAGGCTTCCCCGGAAGTGCTCCAAAGGGTCAAGACATCCCCACCAGCCGCGCAGAGCGAGGCTCCGACCGGGCCTTGGGCCCTGGAGTCCGGATTCTCAGCGATGTGTTGTTTGAGGGGAGGTTTATTCCAGCGACCCCCCCGAAGTTAGGCGTTGATTTGCGAGGGTGGTGTTCTGCAGGAGCGGTCGTCACATCCGCCACCTCCGATGGCACGTGCTGGGCTCGGCTTTTTGTGGGCACATGGCTCGGACTCGCTCCGGTCCGAGGCTGGTGGACTTCAACTGTGAAGTGCCCGGCTCGGGGGCTCAGCTTGCGAAACCACGGCCAAAGGCTTGCGAGTTGGGGCCCAGATGGTTTGATCTGAATAGCCATATGAGCGCAGAACTGCAAGCCGGTAGATCAGGCTGGCGTGCACATTGCCCTACAGGTCGCATGTTCGCATATATTTCCATAGAGGGCTCATTTTGTTAGGGCGGACGACTTGTTCTCAAGAGTGCAACACTACAGATCCACTCTGTACAGGCCGTGTACACCTTTTCTTAGAACAGAGACTCACCCCGGAAACATAGGGAATTCATGTTTTGTTGCTACTCGGTTCCCCATTTTGAGACAAATTTGCTTGGGCTCCTCTCTTTTGCTAGGTAAGCTTGCGGATGGTTTTATGCAGCTTCAGACAACCACCAGACTCCCATAAAGGGAGCTGTGACAAAAAGACCCACATGTTGGTTCAAAAGTAGGGTTTCTTTAGTCTTCTTTATAATGAGACCCCCATCAGACCAACGACATAGCGAGGTCGCCCCACATTTTCTCTTTGCGTTTTGGGGTTTACCCCTTCCCCACACTTTGTTGAGCCCTTTCGAACATGGGCACGTGGTTTGTCTCAAAATCGGGGACCTCCAAAACCAAGGTCGGGTTCCCCCCCCAAAGTTTCAAATGACACATTTCAACACACACAACATGGCATCTCAGTTTGAACCCCCCCCTCCATTCTTTTCCCCCATTCGTTTGGGAAACTTTCTAGCTTTTTTCCTCATGGGGTTCGGAAGAAGCGGCATGGAGTCCTTTAGGCGTGCTTCAGTCGGACCAGCCCCATGTCCGCGGCGAGCAGCTGCGCGCACGGGGGCCCGGTTTGGGGGGACTGTGGAAGGGGAGGGGGGGCGCGCGTGAAACTTGGCGATGCGTGTTTTCTCTCTGCTTTTTTTTTCTTCTTTTTCTCCGCTGTGCTTTTCAGTTGTTTTCTCCCCCCCAATTTTTGGCGTTTCTGCTTTTTTAAAAGTACATTTGGCTATGACTTTGCACGGGAACCCCTGAAGAGTGGTCAGAGGACACATTCGCACCCAGATGATAGCCACCCAAAAATGGCGCAATTCAAATTCACGCCCATTTTTTTGTTGGGTTTGTTGAAAGGGGAATGGAAAGGAAAGCCGCCATTCTTGGTGTCCCAGATAAGCAGGTTGGGCGGGTGATAGGGTGGAAGAGGGGGGGAGTCTGCAAGTAATGTTTTTTTTCTTCTTTTTTTCTTTCTTTTTTTTCTCGTGAAACTGGTATGATAATTATGTCTTTACATTATTTTCACACTATTCAAATTGGGTGGTTCTTGCATCAGAGCATGCCGCCACTGCATGCCACAAGAATCGGTACCCAATATTTGACAACTCCATTTTTGATATCTGTTTTTGGGCAATGGGGTCCTTTGTCCCTTTCTACGTGGCTTCCTAGGAGTTGTTCTTGAGTATGGTGGCACACATTCCCTTTCCACAATGGCTGTGGGTCAGAATGAGGGTGGTGTCCTATAAGTGATGCGATTCCCTTTTTTTTTAACAAACTCCAATCACCTGTGTGTGTCCTGTGGCTTTACCTCAAACTTGGAGACCGCTTGACTGCTTGGTTCTGTCCTTTGGTTTCAGCCACCAAGGTTATCTCTTTTTCAATTGGCGCGGCCTGCGTCACATGCCGATTCTCTTGCCCCGGCGACTCCGAGGTGTACTGCAGTCGTGTGGCCCTTCGCTCAGCGGGGAGAACGAGGGAAGCTATCAGCGAGACTGCACCAAGGACACGGCAAGGAAGATGTGTGTCGTCAGCACCGTGAAGGACCAAGCCTTCGAGCTTTTCTGGCCATGCCTCTTGACTTGTCTAGGAGCAACCCAACGTGGAGGTCACAAGAAGGCAGCGCATGGCTGTTCCAACATGTCAAAAGCTCGAGGGCCCCCAAAAAGGTATCCTTTGGGTTGTCCTCAGAAGGAAGACACGCGAAGAAAGCAGCCAGTAACAAATAAAGCAACATCGCTGAAGATTCTGCACAGCAAGAAGCAACAACATGCATAGCGGAAGAAACCGACAGAACAAGTCAGCAAGCAGACAAGAACATGACACCGTTTGTTTTTGGATAAATGATATATATATATATATACATATATATAAAAGGGGGGGGCAAAAGAACAAGAAACATCCCCGAACGAAAACCCCGGGCACAGGAAGGTGGAGGACATGGCCTCGGATGCTTCCAAGGGCCTCCGCGGCACGGCTCGGGTGCCCGAGGTTTGCCTGGAAAGATTGGACCGAAAGAATACCGTAAAAGCCACCCCAAACGGATGGTCAAAATAAGCGTGGAACCAAATAGGATGTCTCCTTGTAGTTTTCAAACACACCTTTACACACACAACCATGTCACTGCAGTTTCAAAGGGAGTTGAAAGGAACACCACCCCGTTTGGTGATCAAGATTTGAGATACACAAATTGCAGTTGCCTCTGCGGGGATGAAGAAGAACTGGGTTCGCTTTGTTGGATTTGGAGGCTTGCTTGGTTCCTTTACGGCCAAAACGTACCTGTTGCCCGCGACCGCCAGGAAGCGGGTCCCAGAGAAAAAGCATGGCAGGTACAGCAAAAACGCACGGGCCTCGCCCCAGCTCCATGCTCCGTACCCGCTTCATGGAGCGCGGCGACTTTTCTTGGTGATATACTGCTATCATCAACACAACCCTAAACCTAAAACAGAAAAGCCAGCCTCGGATGCACCGAACAGCCAGCTCCAAGCAAACCTAAACCCTAGAAACCCTACACCTAAACCCTACACAACCCTAAACCCTAAAAACCCTCAAAGCCCCAAACCCCAAAAAACGTAAACCTAAGCCCTAAAAACCTGAAACCTAAACCCTAAACACCCTAAACCTAAACCCCAAAAACCCCAAACCTGAACCCTAAAAACCCTAAACCTGCCAGCACGATCATACAGCATGATAGGACCTTGTGGGCGACACGTATGTTTTGTGGGTTCCTTTAGACTAAGCCTTTTAGCACGCTTGGAGGCGAGCTTATGCCGACGCTCAAATTGCGTAAACCTCTCTGGGTGTACAGCGAGATTAGTCATTTAGCATTTCCCACCAATGGCTCCCCCTTTTTGTTTTCAGGCACTGGCAGCGGGAGGGTGGGCTTCGCGCTCCGAGCTTCCAGACGCAGAATCCCACCCCGCCCCCAAAACTGCCAGGCAAAGCAACAGGTACCGGAATACCTGATTGCTTCAGTATGCGCGGGAGTGGCACTGTATCAGCCACTGTTGAACTGCCATGCGTACTCTCCATGCACCTGTTGAGGTTTCCGAGGATTTGGAAGGGGCGTGTGGCGTGTACACATCCCCCTTGAGGTTTTGGTAGCCCTGATAAGCGTTCAACCACTGGCGCACCTGATTCTCACACAGAGGTTTTGCCGCTGAGGTTCTCAACGTTACGGGGAGAGGCGTCTTTGTCGACGTCAACTGCGAGGCTGGGGATCGGATCTTGGGAGGTTTCATGGAGTCGCGCACAGGTTCAAGGATATCTCTCTCCCATGGACATTGACATGAACGCATCACCCACCGGCCTCTACAAGGGCTTTGAGGCAAGCTCAACCCTAGACGCTTCCCGTTCTAACGAGTTTCTCGTGAGGTGACGGTGTACATCAAGGCTGTAAATCTTACCAAACGGCAAGTTCGGCCTTGTGCTTAAGAATTGAGTTTCTGGAGATCACGCCTTCTGCTTCTGACGTGGCGCGCTAAGGCTTTCGATGTTCCCGACGCGTGGTCCAGTCAAGGTTTGGGAATGAGCAAAAGTGCGAGACCGCGGCTGCTCAGATTTCGGGCCGTGACTTGGCGCTTGCGATTTGTTCATCCCGCACCATGCAGCTCTTTGATCATTGAATGGCATGCCAGGCAACAGCACAGGCATTGTTCTTTGAGAAACACACACAGATGAAGGAAGCAACCACCCGGCTCGTAGCCCCTACGGCTGTGCAGGAAAACAACAGAAGGACGATGAAAGATTCTGCTTGCGTGCGTAGACAAACACGTTTTCTTCAAGTTAGGTCCATGGATTCTTCCTTCTTCTCGTACTCGTCGCCGATTTCGTGCCACACTCACAGCTGGGACTGAAGACGAATGAGAAGAGGAGGAGAACAGGAGGAGAAGAGGAAGAAGAAGAAGAAGAAGGAGAAGAAGAAGAGGGAGAGGGAGAGAGAAAGCGACAGAGAGAGATCAGGTACTTCCAGCCGTTACAGTCGCCGTGCGTCCCAGCCTCGGTTGCCATGGCCATTAGGCCAAATACAAAACGCGTGCTGTCTCGTGCTCCGGGTTGCCATCGGAGCGGATGGTGCCAGTGCATCCTAAGTTTGCGGGGCTTGCGCGCAGCTTCCAGCAGGGTAGGCAAAATCCGGGCCCCTGGCCGCATGGGGTTTCGAGGCGGGGCTTTTGGGCTTTGGGCATGGTTCGGAGCTTGACAGCGCGCCTGCAACTGCACCTGCAGGCTGGGTCGTCTTTGGCTCATACATCCCAAGGCAGGTTTTGAGTCGCGAACTTTTGGAACATATCAGCCCCAGCGTGCCCAAGCCTGCGCTGCTTGCAGTGGAGTGGAAGACCCCTGTGTTTGGGACAGGTTCTTCTCGTGCTTTTACCCGGTGGTCGGCTTCACCCTTTGGCCATTCGTCTGTGTCCGTGAAACAGAGGAAGAGCTGGAGGGAGAGGATCTCGAGGAGCGGCTTGGTGGGAAGTCTGCTTGGTTCGGACTCGCGTTCCCTGCCTTTCAGCGTGACATGGTGTCGCTCCTCGCTCCGAGCGGAAGTTGGTTGGCCCCCTTTGCAATCTGAGGTTCATCAACCATGAGCACATCCACATTGCTCAGGCGCCTCGTAGCCGAGAAGAAATCGTTTTGAGCGCCCTTTCGGAGTTTTGCCGAGGCGACTGAGATGTGCTGTCTCTTCATGTATGTGCTCTGGGTGTTTGACTTCTTTAAGGGCCTAATGTGCATTGGGAAGAAGGGCTTCGAGTGCTTCGCTTGCGGATGTGATGCCCAGCAATCCTACATCTGGAACCGCTTGGAGCAAGAGGCCTTCGACCATCAGCATGATCTCGAGTACCTGGACACTCGCCCTTGCTGTGCTTGGTGGAAATACCCGTCCGCGACAGTGGCGGAGCGGTGGCGCTGGGGCAGAGGCTGAAGTGCCGGACTCAACCCATGGTGCCCTTCGGTGCCCCACATTTGCCGTCGCGAGCAATCGGTCGCAGAGAGAGCACGGAGCGCGGCATGTCCGAAGATCGCGGAGATGAGTGTGAAGGCGAAGGTGAGCCGCGCACCATGACGACCGCCGTGGTGAAAGTGGCGTGATTATGGCCAGCTTTGGGGTCGCTTTTGCATTGGGCAAAAAGGAGCCTTCTGGTTGCACATGGCTCTGGCTTGCCAAGATGCTCGGTAAGGCCACCTCTTTCTTCTCCTGTGAGCCCGCTCCATACGAGGATCGTGGCTCGGCTTTGCCTTGCTCACAACGCCTCCTCTTGCAGTGCTGATCTTCCCCCATGTGTTTGACGCCAGCGGCGATGTTCAGATGCCCGTGGGTCAAAACCAATGGGATCCCATTTTGGGGTAGGTGAATTCACGACCCATTTTAGAACCTATTTTAGTTGTTGGGATGTTCATTGGGGGTACGATTTGGATTTTGACCCATGGCCAGATGTTTCTGGTTGGAGGAAACCAGAAGCGAAGCCACTGCAGGACTTGGGTGCCAAGTATGAGAGCATCTCCTCGAAGGCGGGCCACTTACTTTCCTTGATTGAATAAAATATGTATCTCAACTCAGCAAAGAGAACCGCCCCTTTAACATTTTCTTTTTTTTTAAAAAAAAACTAACCTGTTGCAACGTGCTGGCTGGCTGACTGTTTTTTGTTTTTTGTTTTTTCTAAACAAATCTAACTTGTTGGAAAGTGCTGGCTGGCTGACTGGCTGTGTTTGGTGCTGAAGCACATCTGCTGAACAACAGATCCCTAATACTTTGATTGGCCCGCTACTGAAAGGAAAACCAAAAAGTGGTTCCCATTTTGGAGACTCCTGAATGGCAACGGAGAGTTGTGCCTTCTGGCCCAAGTGGGGGCACAACGTGTCAAAAGTGGGGCCACGAATGGTGGGTCTTGCTTTAGTTTGCACACACACACACGCCGTCGTCTTGCTTGCACCGAGTGGGAGGTTTGCGGATGGGCTGGCGAGTTGGGCAAGGACGCAGACTTGCGCCATTTGCGTGAGAAAACCTCAGCCTCTCAGCATGTGGCCGGAGTGTCGAGACCTTGAGGGGCTGTAGGTGTTATGGCTGAGTTTCTTTGTGCGCGCAGTGTTTTGCCGGATTAGGGTCAAGTGTTGGAAAAACATCTCAAGGACACTCATTTTTCTAGCGGGGCATGGATTTGCTCCACTCTCCACCAGTTGACGAGGCTACCCTCCACTCCTCTCCCACTCAGACATCACAGGACCATGACCTGCGGCAGGGCGCCGCGCACGGCGCTTGGCGAGAGCCGCAAACGCCCTTCCAGGCCGCGTTGAAACCTGGACTCATCGTAGCATAGTCCGGAGTCCACGGGCCTTGGTCGCTTTCATTGGTACATGGGATAACATGTTTGAACAAGCTGCTTTGAATTGGCCTTTTTAAGGTTTTGTTTTCCACCATTTTGCCGGGAGAAGGGCTTTAAATGTTGCATGAACCCATGTGGCTGACTCCCAAAATTACAGTTGGCGGGTGTAAGCCAGTATGAGTGGTCGACGACCCAAACCTTCACATATGCTTCCTTTGTTAAAGCTTGAGTCGACAGAAGTGCTCCAAGTCTCAGTTGGTCCATACTAGGGGTGAAGTAAGGCCAGGAGTTACCAAGGATTCATCCACTCAGCGCCGCAGCGTTCTACATGCGATGGCACAGGTCAGCACAGAGCTGCCAAGCAGCGAGCTGATCCCGACGGCGCAGCGCCAGCCGCGCGGGGGGGCCTGAATTCCCACGTGCCAGTGGCCGTGTCGCAAAGTAAGGGGCCCTGAACATATTACGTCCCTTTGAGTTCCAACCAAAAGGTGAGCTTGTGTTTTTTTTGTTTTGCGGATACCCTTTTGGGGCTGCTTGAAAGGGAAGCCAGAGGAAGAACAGTGGTTTCTGTGAGTTTCCGCTGTTTTGACGCAAGCCATTGCTTAGCTACTTTCACATATCTATTAAAAAGGAGCCATGTCGCGAGGGAGAAAATGCCATTCAACTAAAGGGGATTACAAGTACACTCACAATAATGGCATGGGAAAGAGGTTCCCAGTTAATGGGTTGTCTCTATACCGTTGGTTTCCCTTAAGACCAACCCGAAAAAGGAGTACCAAAAGAAGACACACCCAACTATTGGCTGCGACGCCCTTGGGCAATAGGAGCACATCATGCTTTAATATGGCGGTTTACCATTATTGACATACCAACATGGAAACTCCAAAGGAAAGGAAACAACATGGTGCAAGCAAGATCGAACCCTTTCCCTGTAGATCCAATCTTGTTGCGACACACCCGCATCAGGCACATGAGAAGGCGTAGGCGTTTAGGCGTACCACTTGGGCGAAGGGCGAAGGGCGAGAGACGGGATCCGAGGCGTGGACTTTGTGAGCAGCGCGACTGCCATGAAGAGCATCTTCCGCGCCTCCTTCGACACGGAGCGCGGGCGTTTGAGGGTCGGTGTTTGAGGGTCGGTGATTGGGGGCCCAGCTGTCTTGACATGGCTTGCTGAAATATATGTCTATTTACATTTGAGTCTGGGTGCAATGCTATGCGAGAGACCGGGTGTGTTCACAGATCCACACGCGGTTTGGTTTTGGGGGGGGCGTGTGGACTGTCTGGCCGGCCTTCAAACATTCGGGAAACACGCATGTGTGCGAATACTGCTGGGTCATGTGGCTGATTGTGGCTTTGGGTGGACCGGTCGCTGTGCGCAGGAGTCGGATGTGGGGGTCGCAGTGCATCGACTGGGCGATTGGCCGCTCGGCTGTTGAACCGGGACCCAGATGGGGAAGGTCGTTGGCGGGGCTGGGGCGGGCCGGGTTTTGGGCGTCAACCCTGACTTGTTTTTTTGTTAATATTTCCCTTGCCATGCAAATGATTTTTGCTAAAGCAGATTGGGCTCACCCACCGTGCTTTCCGGTCTTTGCCATATCAGAGCCATTTCGTTCTTTTTTCTCCACGTGGCACCTGCGAGGCTGGTCATTGATGATGGGAGCGAGCTGTCCTGGTGCCCGCACCGCGATGGGCCGGACGAGGACTTGTGGGCGGGTGCCTTAGCCTCGCATCTGAACGTGAGACCCCAAGAAGCAAATGTTTGAGAATTCTCCCTGGGAAGAGGACTTGAATTTGTTTGCGGGAGGTCGATTTTTCTTTCTTCGTGCTGCCCCTGAATTCGGAGCCGCGAGGTTCCCGAGTCGGGCCTAGGTGGAGCGCGTGCGCGTGTCCGAGCAGCACCACCGAGCGTGTCTGGCCCAGGTGGAGGCCTGGGGGTTGGGATAAGGAGCTTGCGGTGAGCCACGTGCTCAAAACCCGGATAGACGAAGGTTAGTACGGGATACTCCCAACCACAAGCTGCGGATATCCGCCTTCTTAATTCTTTACGACATGGTTCCGGGTGGACCATTTCAGTACCGGGGTTTGATTCTGACTCAGGTGTTTCCTTTTTGGACAGATGCGCTTGCAATAGTTTTGGCACGTTCAAGAAGGTGGGTCGCCCCAGCCTGGGGTTTCAGTGGGGCGTGTCTTTCCAACGGTGTCCCTTGCGGCAGATGGATCCTGCAGTGGAGGGTTCTTTTGGGCAAGTGTGCTGATTTCCCGCGGATATGTGCGAAGAGTTGAGTATTCGAACAAGAGTTCATCTTGTTCGAATTTCTTTATGTCATGGATGGCGCATCGAATTTCCCTCTTTTCTCCCAGTGCGCCTGTTGATCCTGGCTTATGGGCTTTCTTGTGTTTCTTTCGTGCCTATCTGGTCTTTGTTTCTTTTGCCTTTGGCTTCTATGGGCGTTTGCTGTTGCTGGGTCGTTGGCTTTTCGTTGCCTGCTTTTGGTGGGCATGATGCAGCCTGACTCAGCATGTATGAGTTAACTTGAGCAATTTCGAGCATTGCTCACACAGGCTGCACATTTGGCATTCGACACCGATTAATGTTAATCTGGAGCCCCTCAAAAGTGGTTGGCGGACATGAATCCCCTCTCCCCCGACGCTTGAAACATCATCAATTTCCTTTGAACAAAGGCATATCCTTGCCCATCCCAACCAAAGAAACACATCTCACCAGGTTTTCCCCTTCAGCAAAAAACATACAAATTTCAGCCTCCTGACGTATTTAGCTCGCTTTCCCCGTCTTTCCTTTGGGTTTTTCGTCGTTTCCGGTCAGTTTCGGGCGCGATTTGTCTCGCACAAGGCCGCCACGGCCAAGTCCAGAGAGGCCCAGCAGCGCCTCGAGCAGGCCGAGCCTCTCGTCCGAGCCTGTGGCAGAGCGACGGGTGGCATTCTTTTTTTGGGTTCTTTGGTGGGTTCTTTGTTGGGATCTTTTTGTTTTGTTTGGTGGGTTCTTTGTTGGGTTCTTTGTTGGGTTCTTTGTTGGGTTCTTTGTTGGGTTCTTTGGTGGGTTCTTTGGTGGGTTGTTTTGTTGGGTTCTTTGTTGGGTTCTTTGTTGGGTTCTTTGGTGGGTTCTTTGTTGGGTTCTTTGTTGGGTTCTTTGTTGGGCTCTTTGTTGGGTTCTTTGTTGGGTTCTTTGGTGGGTTCTTTGGGGAGTTCTTTGGTGGGTTCTTTGTTGGGTTCTTTGTTGGGTTCTTTGTTGTGGGTTCTTTGGTGGGCTCTTTGTTGGGTTCTTTGTTGGGTTCTTTGGTGGGTTCTTTGTTGGGTTCTTTGGTGGGCTCTTTGGTGGGTTCTTTGGTGGGTTCTTTGGTGGGTTCTTTGGGTTCTTTGTTGGGTTGTTTGGTGGGTTCTTTGTTGGGTTCTTTGTTGGGTTCTTTGTTGGGTTCTTTGTTGGGTTCTTTGTTAGGTTCTTTGGTGGGTTCTTTGGGGAGTTCTTTGGTGGGTTCTTTGTTGGGTTCTTTGTTGGGTTCTTTGTTGGGTTCTTTGGTGGGTTCTTTGGTGGGCTCTTTGTTGGGTTCTTTGGTGGGTTCTTTGGTGGGTTCTTTGTTGGGTTCTTTGGTGGGCTCTTTGGTGGGTTCTTTGGTGGGTTCTTTGTTGGGTTCTTTGTTGGGTTCTTTGTTGGGTTCTTTGGTGGGTTCTTTGTTGGGTTGCTTGGTGGGTTCTTTGTTGTGTTCTTTGGTGGGTTCTTTGGTGGGCCCTTTGTTGGGTTCTTTGGTGGGTTGTTTTGTGGGTTCTTTGGAGTTCTTTGGTGGGTTCTTTGTTGGGTTCTTTGGTGGGTTCTTTGTTGGGTTCTTTGGTGGGTTCTTTGGGGAGTTCTTTCGGGAGTTCTTTGTTGGGTTCTTTGTTGGGTTGTTTGTTGGTTGTTTGGGTTCTTTGGTGGGTTCTTTGGTGGGTTCTTTGTTGGGTTCTTTGGTGGGTTCTTTGTTGGGTTCTTTGTTGGGTTCTTTGTTGGGTTCTTTGTTGGGTTCTTTGTTGGGCTCTTTGTTGGGTTCTTTGTTGGGTTCTTTGGTGGGTTCTTTGGTGGGTTCTTTGGCGGGTTCTTTGGTGGGTTCTTTGGTGGGTTCTTTGTTGGGTTCTTTGTTGGGTTCTTTGGGGAGTTCTTTGGTGGGTTCTTTGCTGGGCTCTTTGTTGGGTTCTTTGGTGGGTTCTTTGGTGGGTTCTTTGTTGGGTTCTTTGGTGGGCTCTTTGGTGGGTTCTTTGGTGGGTTATTTGATGGGTTCTTTGTTGGGTTCTTTGTTGGGTTCTTTGGTGGGTTCTTTGTTTGGTTCTTTGTTGGGTTCTTTGTTGGGTTCTTTGGTGGGTTCTTTGGCGGGTTCTTTGGTGGGTTCTTTGGTGGGTTCTTTGTTGGGTTCTTTGGTGGGTTCTTTGGGGAGTTTTTGGGGGGTTCTTTGTTGGGTTCTTTGTTGGGTTCTTTGTTGGGTTCTTTGTTAGGTTCTTTGGTGGGTTCTTTGGGGAGTTCTTTGGTGGGTTCTTTGGTGGGTTCTTTGTTGGGTTCTTTGGTGGGCTCTTTGGTGGGTTCTTTGGTGGGTTCTTTGGAGAGTTCTGTTGGGTTCTTTGTTGGGTTCTTTGGTGGGTTCTTTGGGGAGTTCTTTGTTGGGTTCTTTGTTGGGTTCTTTGGTGGGTTCTTTGTTGTGTTCTTTGCTGCGCTCTTTGTTGGGTTCTTTGGTGGGTTCTTTGGTGGGTTCTTTGGTGGGTTCTTGGTTGGGTTCTTTGGCGGGTTCTTTGGTGGGTTCTTTGGCGGGTTCTTTGGTGGGTTCTTTGTTGGGTTCTTTGGTGGGTTCTTTGGTGGGTTCTTTGTTGGGTTCTTTGGTGGGTTCTTTGTTGGCTTCTTTGTTGGGTTCTTTGGTGGGTTCTTTGTTTGGTTCTTTGCTGGGCTCTTTGTTGGGTTCTTTGGTGGGTTCTTTGGTGGGTTCTTTGGAGCTTTTTTTGGTTGGATTTTGTACTATTGCACGCAGATGACATCCCTTTGCTTGGGGTTGTTTTTTCGGGAGAGAGACGCTCAAAGTCAGGCGGTCCAGGATTTTCGTTGTGAGACTTGGCGATCTCCCTTCGGGCGAGATTTGCTCAGCGTGGCCAAGCTCTATACTTTTAGGATCCACTCGCTAAAGAATATGCGGGACTCACCACATTTTTTGCAAAATCCAGGGGGATTCTCCAATTTCCCATATTCACAACGGGAAATGCATATTCTGACTATGGCTCGTGTCACTGCTTGTCTCCCCATGTCAAGCTGTGGTTTGGCAGGTGCGGGCTATGCTCTGGGAGGCCGAGATGGTGTCTACCCCAGTGGATCAGCAGCCTCCCAGTTGAAACTGCCCGGTACTTTTCTTAGAGGGCCAGGGGGCCAGGAACCCAGCGCGGGAATTGCCCCCCGTTCTTGGGGAACAAGTCGATGCGCGTTGCCCGTGCCTCGGCGTGCCGAGGCCGCGAGCCAAGCGGATGCCGAGCTTCGGGAGGTGGGCAGCTCTCTCGGGCAACGCAAGCCGCTCAGCCGCTCCGATACTCAAAGCCGGCTTCGGGCTTCAGGCGTATGAAGCGCACATGGAGCACATGGAGCACATGGAGCAACGAAAAGGCAAGAGCAACATAATTGCAGCGCACGTGCAACGGTACATCGCTTGGCAATGGAACACCTCAGCATTTGGTGACAAATTCAACACCAACCAGCAGTAACACTGAGAGGCATGAGATCATGGAGGCATGGGGTGATGCTTGCCGCTATCCTGTGTGCCGCGGCTGAGGTGCATTGGACTTCAAATCTGACGGGTGATTGCTTCTTTTTTGCTACGGCAAGTGAGCAAGACAATGCAGAGGCAACCTGACCTTGCATAGCACGAGGCGTGTGTTCTGAAACTCATTTGCTTGCACAAAAAGCAGATCGAAGCGCAAGATAAGTTCATTTGACCGATGTATCCCTCTTTTTTTGTTGAGAGGAGTGTAAGAGGCTAGGCTGAACCGTGTGGCTTCTGAGCCTAGGCGCGACTTGATGCTACTGGATCAGAGCTCTTGGAGGGGGAGGACTGTGCTGAGAGCTGAGAGCAAGAGGTATTGTCCGAACGTATCAATATTTTGGGGGTGGGGGGGATGGGTTATCCCTCTCTCCCTCTCTCCCTCTCTCCCTCTCTCCCCCTCTCCCCCTCCCCCTCTCCCCCTCCCTTCCTCTCTCCCTCTCTCCCTCTCTCCCTCTCTCCCTCTCTCCCCCTCTCCCCCTCTCCCTCCCTCCCTCTCTCCCTCTCTAAAGTAGTTGGCGTCCTGGCAGCTTGTTGTTCCTAAGCTGTCACGAGGGGGCATCGGTAGTCTTTGCACTTATGGACATTCCGCGATTTGCGCTTCGGGCATTGGCAGTTGACGAAGGATGCCGAGGAGGAGGAGCTGGAGTATTTGGACGATGAGTTCAGAGAAGACGAAGGTGCATCTCCCATGCGGCAAGGTATGAAGGTCAAGGTCATGGGCAGTTGTGGCAAGCCGTGGGGCGAGTTGGAAGCTGTGAGTGCCCATTTAAAATTCTTGCCATGCCAAGCTAGATCTGACAGCTGCTACTATACAAGGGGAGATGTTCTGCTTGAGTCCTCAAAGTGATGTCCGAATTTGTTGTTGCCCGGTTTGTTGTTGAATCAATGAGATTCATGCACTGGGCTGCTTGCATCACTAATCCAAGGAGACCTGGAATGTCATCCACCTTTGAGCCAGGAGTGTCCGCAACTCAACTCAATTGCTCACTCCATACTCCATGCACCCCCAGATGTACGTCCTAAAATCCTAAGAGCAAGTATGCCAGGAATGATTCCAGCAACAAAAAGGAAGGGCAACTAGCCCAGCCTTGCTACTGTTCAGCGTGACATCTTAAGCAGGCTGTCATTGGCTGCACGAGCGACTAGATTACTTCGCAGTAGGCAGTGAGGGCAACTGGGTATGTATCACGATAGGGACCCCGCAAAATTATGATTATCCTTTGGGTTTCCCTTGACGCCAACCCCGAAAAGGGTTCATTTCTGGAAGATCTTTCAGCAGGGCAGTTGCACAGTGCTTTGCGGGAGCGTTGCGTGCACAGATGGAGAAGAGGGTTTGGTTTCAACACCCGAAACATGTGAAATCAACAAATCTCTGAGGCCAAAAAGGGCCACAGAAAGCTCGCCACGTTCCACAGGCTGACAAACGACTCTTGTCACGACTCTGAACTAAGACGTGCCCAGCTTTTAATTTACCGCCTCTGGGGCTCAGTGGTTATCCCAGGCTGAAAGACCCACGAAACACAGGCCGCCACGGCCACAGTTGCTGAGGATGGTGAGTGGATCTGTTTTGTGGCTAACTTTTTGAACAAGGATGCCAATTTGAGCCATGACACGGCCAGCGGGTTGCGCTCCCAGGTATCCTTGCCGCTGCTGCGATGGGCCCGGCCCGGCCGACTGCGTGATCTGCCCGGCAGGCGCTGCGGGCTGTGGCTCCATTGGCATGGCAACAGCCAAGGCCAAGAGACACAAGACTCCTACGGGGGGGGGGGGCTTCATTCGTCAGTCATTCACTTTTTCGATTCTAAGATTCCCCTTGAGGGCACCATGACTATGTTCCGCATGAAGGAAATGGGGTTTTCTCGCGAAGTTCCGAATTCAGTTGGGACACGATGAACGCTTCCTGTGGCTCAGACATGCCGGTGTCAAATGAGTTGCATGATTCGACCACCGCAGATGGTAGGTGAATCATGCTGGTATCGATTGAACCTGATCCTGTCTCGCTTATTGTTTACACGCCAGCCAAAAGGGTTGGCTATAAGGATTCCATGCGGCTGTGAATGTCCTGAAATAGAGTGGTGGACATTAGGGCACTGATGTCCACAGAGGAGCTCCAAGTAAACGACCCCATGTTAAAGCTTGAGGTACAAGCTGGCCATCAACCCTTGTAGTACAGTGCCCAAACCAGTGAAAGCTTCGGGTCCCCTGCGGAGTTGTTCGGAGCGGCTGCGGACACCTGGGCTGATTCTTTCTCCTTTGGAGCCATGCCGTGTAGGACACCTTCCCTTTTTTTTCCAGGGCAACGAATTCAGATGGAGGTTTCTCAAAATCGGCTCCCAAATCGGTGGCCCTCAAATGGCTTGTTTCCTTGAATGTTGAACCACCAACCCAAAAAGAATTCACTTCCAGATAGTCGTCAGCCGGAGCCCCGAGGCGCTCCCCGGTCAATGGTCGCTGCAACTCGCAGGCTTTGCCTGCATCGATTCAGATGAAGATGGCGCTGGCCAGTGCATGGAAGGAGACACCCAAGTCAGCGGATGAGTTCTGCTCATGGCATGTTTGCATGTTTGCGCCTTGTACGTGAAGACTCATGGGACGAACTTGCGCCAGAGCGCGAGCAGCATGCAATAGTCAGTGATGACCCACAGGCCAGCAAAAGACGATGGATGCTTGCTGAAGGCACAATACCCCTCATACAATGCAGGCTCTTCTGTCTGTAGCATGTTGCAAGATACCAGACATGAAGAGCATGATCGCGGTCGCTTGTGAAGGAGAAGAAGGCAGCAATGTCTGCGATGGCCCTGGTGGCAGTGCCCAGGACATGTGCGGGCGATGGCAGAATGACACGACCATGCTCTTATATTTCAGGGTTGGCCTTGAAAGAAGGTACTTATGATCTCATAAGTGCTTTCGTTCAAAAACATGTGCTTTCGTTCAAAGACATGTGCTGTTTAGCTTTTTGTTCGTTTGGGACAAACAACCTCGCAGCACCGTCCAGGGGTGAAGAGCGGCATGTTCCTGGGAAGCGCCCAGAAGTGAATTGCAAAGGGAGTTTTGGCTTTATCTTGGGATGCTCTCCGGCACCCTTTGTCAGAGTGAAAGCAAACATGCACGATGCATTGGCTGCTTTTCGTGGCCTACTTGGTGCAGATTGATGCGGGGGATTCATCGCTTGTTTGGCTTGCTTGGCACACTGACCTTGCTCTTTGCTTGCAGATTTGCCCCAGAAGTGGTCAGGATTATAGACCTGGGCCGGAAGACGAAGAATTTCCTGAGGACGAGGCCAGCTTGCGCTGCTTCGGCCCCTAGCGAAATCAAAGCGCAATGTGCCAGGGAGATAGCCCCTGGTCAGATGATCAGGAGAGCGACTTTCTCGAGGACCAGGACAGCTTGCACCAAACACAAAAGCCACCTGGACCATCACATTTGTTTTCCAGCGAGGAAGGTGCCGTTCCGCCAGATGATGATGAGGTGGAGTTTGTTGAGGACCAGGACGGTTTGTTGCAAGTAGAAACCGATAGTGGAGCATGTGTTGTTCGTCCTGATGATTTTATGGGCGTGCAAGGAGGATGGACTTGCGTCAGATGATCATGGGTCGGAGGATTTCATCGACGACCAGGACAGCCTGTGACCTTGCAGTGGCGCGAAGCAGAGCAAGCCGAACAATCAGTGCCTGGCACTGCTAGTGCTGTCTGATGGTCGCCAAATCGTGCTTTGGGGGTCTGCTGTGTAGATGTCATGCTGCGGGCATCAGGGCCAGGCAGCAAAGATCGCTTTTCCAAGCCACTGCAAAATTAGTTTTGTCTGCCCGGTGTCGACGTCAAGCCTCAAAAGTCAATGGGACCTGATAAGTGGAGTGGTGCAAGCCCCTCAGCATCAACACCATTGTGCCCACTGCGCAAAGATCAGATCCCCTTGCCCCTCGTTGTAACCACTGCTATCAGGCCAATCCTAACCGGCTGACTGCAATGCATTGGCAAGCCAGACAGTTCACCTATAGCCTATAGCACTGTCGTGTTGCCTGGGGTTTGCCTGAAAGTGGTGAATGCATCCCAAACATGTGCCATGACTGCAGGACAATCAACCAGCTGCCCATGACGAGATGTGACGCAGACAAAAAGGATTCAGTTGGATGAATGCAGATGGCTCAATTTCCCAGTTTGGGTTTAGTCCTCCCATTTACTTCTTCAGACAAGGAGCGTTGTGCCATCTTTTTTCATCCTGGTCCAGTTCCATGATGTCCCATGCTTTCGAGCGACGTCGCAGCCCCCCCTTTCCAGCAGGCCTTAGCAGAGGCTTCCAGGGCAGCGGAGGCATGTGGCGAGCTCAGCTGAACAGGGACGTTGCGGCTTTTTTGGCGAGCAGAAACGCCCGCCTCTTTGCCCATGAGGTGAACATCTCAAGGCACCTGCGAATGATAGCTTCGATGACTTGCCAGACTTTGGTGCAAGTGTGGACCCGAGTTGATCAAGTTGTCGCTCATGAAGGAGTTACCTTGGAGATTACCAGAAGAGTCTCAGGCAGTCCGCTGTTTGAAGACGATATGCCGGAGTTTTGCCCGCAGGCACGGGGACAGTTGGCCGTGTCTGAGTCAAAACCGGAGAATCTGTCTTATGGCCGGGTTCCTTCGGGTTCATCTCAGCAGGCCAAAAGCGTCCTTTCAGCACATCACCATGTGAGGTTCTGTCAACATTTCCAGCAGTGTATGGTTTACTTTGGACACACATGGGGGACTCTCTATATAAATTGTCGAGGGGGGGGGGGGACTCACTCATCTGAGACAGTGGCTCATGTCAGTTCGGTTTTTGGGAAACAAGTCCTGACAGTGGCTCATGCGTCATAATGAGTTTTGCCCATGGCTCATGCGACTCTGGAGGAAGATCCACAGCTCTTCCGGAACTTTCTTGGCCACTCCATTCGTCAGCTGCAGGAGCCCTTCGGTTCTGGAAGGATCGAACTGTGTGTGTGCTTTTTTGCGGGCGTCCTTTGTTTGGGTCGGTTTAAAGGGACACTAAGAGTGAAACGACGTTTTTTGGTGGTGGATTCCTTTTCCATTCTTGTCAACCATCGTTCTTTTCGAAAACCAGCTATTTTCTCGGTTTTCTAGAAATTCATGGAGGCTGGGGGGGGAGGGGGAGGGGGGAGGGGAGCCCAAATGGCTGTGAGCGCCTTTGTTTAAATGCCATCGCAAGCCCGCCTCGGCAGCCCGGACTGACTAGTGATGCTGGCGATGACTGCCCTCGAGCCAAGCGCCAGCCCCCAAAACACACCTGAGCCACAATCAAAACCCAAGTAGGATGAAGGTTAGCAAGGAACGATCCCAACCATAAATAGCTGCGGCCACCTTCTTAATCAGGGTGCAATGCTGAGATGTGGAGCTTTTTTCAAACGAGCCCAACAGTATGCTGTTTTACACGCCTAAAACAGCAGCAATGTGAAGGATGATGGCGCAGACTGGTGATGCTGGCGATGTTGTCAATGTAGAGCTTGTTTCAAAACAGCCCCCTTTTACACGCTAAACCAACTACCAGATGCTGGCGATGCAGACTGGTCGTCAGCCCCCAAAACACACCTGCGCAGAGTGGAATGCTGCCGATCTGTAAGCTCAAAAACGCCCTAAACTCAGCGATTCCAAACTAGAACCACGGGTGGCCCGAAGGCATAATTTGGTTTCGTGCATGTGTGTCTGCTTCCCTGTTTTCATGCGCGAGTGGCGGCTGCAGATTTCTACAGCTCGCCGTGTGGCTCCGCACAGGCCACGTCAGCCGCCGGTGTGCGAGAGCTCGTCAGTGCGTGTGCCTGCGAGCAGAAAACATCACGCGTCTAATTTGCGGGCTGTGAGCCAGAACATCGCCGCGGGCTCTCTCCAACATCTTCAGTGCCCACAGGGCGTAGTCGCGGCATCTCCTCCGCGGTCATGCCGTGCGCCACAATGAGCCACGCGCGCAGCGTAGCCGAGCTTCGATTGATGCCCCCAACGCAGTGCATCAAGACATTGCAAGGCTCTCCAGCTTGAGCGAGTTCTTTTCGAAGCTTGCGCAGCCTGCTGCAAGCAGTCACGCCAGCATCGAAGAGCGTGATGGCTCTGTGCTCAAAGTCCGCGGGATCGCGGGCAGGCGCAGACCTGACGTCTTCCAAAGAGACGCTGTGGGAGATACTATGCTTTCCGAAGTATGCTCTCCAGTCTGGCAGCGCGCCCTTCATTGACATGTCGTCCAAGCGCATGGATACCACGACGCTGATGCGAGCGCCGGAAGCGCCGCGGCCTCTCCTCTAGCTTACAAGCAGCCTATTCTCCGCCTGCTGCTCGAAGACTTTGACGGCGTCAAAGGGCCAGTCAGCGCTGCCCGCCGGTGGAAAGAACCAACGTGATATCTGCAGTTTGCCCGTTTGTGACTGATAAGCTTTGGTGTCGCGAGCTCTGTGCAAATGTTGCTCTACGCAAGTGCGCGGCCCAAGTGTTCCGCGCAACTTGCTCTGCGTGCGCAAGTGCTCTGTGCAACTTGCGATGCGCAAGCGCTACGCACAAGTGTGCTGCGCAAGCTCGGGGCAAATTTCTATGAGCAAGTGCTCCGAGCAAGTTCTCTGCGTGCAACGCTGACCGCAACATGGCAACCTTTAGATTTGAGCCGGAACTGCAAAAGTGCACTTTGCGAGTCACATTTGCGCTTCTGCCTTGCTAACTTAAAGGCCGCGGAGGCGGAGACCAAGCAGCATTCGAGCCCTGGGCTTTCGCTTCCAAGACCAGGTGCGTAACCACGAGACAAACGTTCAAGCCCGCGTCCCGAGTGAAAAAGAGCACTTTACTAGCGTTTCGTGCGATCAAGCACGCCAATCCCCGCAGAGGGTCGCACAGGCAAGTCAGAAATCGTAAAAGTTCGCAGTTTTTGCACATTGACCGCGCCAATCCTCCGCAGGGTCGCGCGGGCAAGTCAGAAATCGAACAAAAAGCAGTTTGTTCGCATCGAGCGCGCCAACCCACGCAGAGGGTTGCGCGCAGATCAGAAATCGTAAAAAGCTCGCAGTTTAGAACCGCAGAAATCGCAAAAGTCCTCATTCTTGGGACACGACCGCGCCAATCCCCGCAGAGGGTTGCATTTTCGCAGGGTGGGTTCCGTCCCCGCGCCGCCTTTCTCTTGTCTCGCGCAAGTTCGGCTGTGTGATATCTCGTGCAAGTTTTTCTCGCGCCAGTTTTGGCTCGTGCAAGTTGGCTTGTGCAAGTCTGGCTCCGGAAGAACCCTTCGCAACACTTTCGGGAAAAAGCACAAAGTCTCACCCGGGGGGTAAGTACTGACTACTACACCACACTTACCTCTCGGCCGCTCCAGTGATCTCATCGCCTCAGGCCAAGGGCAGTGATTTCTGACCAAGAACAAGACGAAGCCATTTTTTGGAGCCGCTTTGGGACCAAAAGCGAATCCCTGCCTCGACGTCGGGGATTTGCAGGATGAGCCACATGCGCATGTGGAAGATGAGCAAGAGGAACACAAGGCCAAGAAGGCATTGGGACTGGCTAGTTGAAGACGGGGCGCTCTTTGCTTTCAACCCCCAGAGTTTGAGTTATTTCTGGGGGCTGCGGAAGGCGGACGCGTCACCCTGCCGCCCGGCCTGGACTGGGGAAGGGGCCAAAGAAAGGGTGGCCAAATTTAGACCATAGAGAACGAACAGGGGGTGAGATATATTGCTAACACTCAGAGTGGTCCAAAGCAAAGGGGTAGGTGCTCCAAATTTGGGATGCTTTTGAGGGAACGTCAGGCTGAATCGCATTTGGCAGGAAATAACGAGTTTGCGTTGGGGTTGCAGGGCACTATTTGAATTTGCCACTCAAGTCCATCAAGAGCCACAAAGAGCTATGCTTAGAAAGCTAGGAGTGATGGGTAAGGATTGCGCTTGCCTCCTGCCCCCTATCCCGTAGCCACAAGCCGATAAAAAGAAGAAGCGCCGCGCTGAAGGGTGAAGCAAAATGCCCATACCCTTGTTTTGCCACCCCCTTCGCAGCTAGATGTGGAGACGGCTTGCTGGACCTTTCCCGACACGATAGATAGCGCGGGCCGAACAGCTGCGCGGCGTGTTTCACGAGCATTTTTCTAAAGCAGCCCGTCAGTTCCCAAGCCGGGTCTGTGCGCTGGTTGGACGGCTTGCCCACTGCCTTAGCGGATGTGCTGATGGGCTGCCCGTGCTCCACAACTACGATGTCGCATCGAAGTGACTGTAGCAGATCCAAACACGTCGCCAGGGCGAGTTGTCCCCTCTGGGGATTTGTAATTGTATGATGGGTGTCGAGGGGTGTCCGGCCGTTGCAGGCCTCAGTTTCCAACAGCTTCCTTCTGCTCGGCTTGTGCGGATGGAGTTAGTGGATGTCAAAACACCGCTCCAAAGAAGCAAAGTAGCAAGATGTGTTGCGTGGCCGTGCGTTTGGTTGACTCTACGTATTCAGGAGTCGTTGGCTATCCCCACGCATCGCCGATTCCATCTCCTGCTTGCAGCCCTGCCCAAGCCAGCAACCCTTTCAGTTCCAGAAGGTTAACCTGGGATTTAGCCAGGGACGCAGAATCTGTTCTGCAGCTAGACCCTCTCTTTTCTAGGAGGGTCAAACTGCAAGTGCGGACGCAAGGCCTGGAACACGATCCTGACACATTGGGGGAGGACAAGAAACCTGCAACTCGATCTCCCCAGGCCCACCATTCTGCAAGTGGGACTGCCGTTTCGATCGCCGTGTTGATAAATAATGTCCACCCTCGTCCCGTTCCAGAGGAGACGGCGTAGTAGAGGTTCCAAGAATGCTGGCGTGGGGGACGGGCGGTGTCTCAGTATTGTGGCAGGAAATTGGCAGACCGTGTTAACTAATTATTGAGATTTACATGACAGCTCAAGTGACTGCACGGCGGAATAACAAGCCACATAGTAGCGAATCTTGCCTCTCCAAGATTGGATCTGCAAAACAAGTTACGAGCCCCTTCCTGTCGAATTAGTTGTCCCCTCGACACAGCCAACCGCTGACCCAGGAGATTGGGTCTGCCTTTGATGACAGAACCGGAAATCTCAAAGCAGCGCGTAGTAGCGAATCTTGCCTCTCCAGTTGGATCTGCAAAAGAAGTTATGAGTTCCTTTCTGCCTCGACGGCAGAACCGGTAATCTGAAAGCATCGCCGGGCTTCTGTGGGCGGCAATCGTGCTCACCGGCTGCTGGTGATGCAGGGTTGTTTTTTTTGTGGGACGTGTAGCGTCCGTGTCCACAAAACACGGCCACGGCCGCTCCGTCCCAGCATGTCTGTCGGCGGGCGTCTTTTGCAGGCGAAGGCAAGCGCTCTTACCAGAAGCCTTGCTTCTTTTGTGTTGGACGTATAGCTGCCGTGTATGAGTTCCACAAAACGTGCTCCCCGGAGCAGCGTCATGAGGGGACAGCGTGTGGGTGAAGGCATTCCTCGCCGCTTCATGAGTCACAGCCACTCAAACCCACTCAGTGCCTCAGAGCCTCAGTGCCGCTCAGTCGGCCTTGAGTGGCGTTGAGCTTCTTTGGGTTGAACTAGCTCCGAGTGGCAATTTCAAATGGATCCCGGATTGCACGTCCTCTGCAAGCCACAAGTGCAAACCTCTGAGATCCTGATTCCGGTTTTGACCCGAAAGGGTCGGCTTCGGGCTGCCTTGAACCCAAGGCCAGGGCGAGCTGGTGCTGCTAGATGGTCCCCCGGCATCCTTCCACCAGGCAAGGTCCCACGAAAGGCCGAACAGGTTTGTGCACCCTTGTATTTTGAGAGTCCCCTGTTTTGGCTTGGTTTTTGAAGGGAAACCAAGAGGACGTGGGAGATTTGGGCATCTCCGCGTAGCTGCGTCAGGGTCTTTCTCTCGCGCGGAATCCTATTTTGGTTTGCAAAGGGAAAAGGGACATCACCTTTGTTTGAGGGCTTGTTCCATTAATTGGCCTCTTTGATGATGTTTTGTGCCGCTTTTTACAGGTCCAAAATTGGCTTATCATGATGTGCATGGACATTTGATGGTTGTGGTGCTGTTGCTGGTGCTGTTGCTGTTGCTATGGCTATGCTGTTGCTACTACCATAAGTATTACTGCTACCAATAACTACTATTACTACTTCTACTACTACGACTACTCCTACTAATAGTCTACTACTGCTGTTGCTACTGCTACTACTCCTGCTCCAACCCCTACTCCTACTCTTACTCCTGCTACTGCTACTGTTGTTACTGCTGCTACTACTCTCCTGCTACTGCTACTGTTAGTCTTACTGTTACTGCTATTGCAACTGCTACGATCACTCCTGCTACTGCTGGCTTCTCGCCGCTCGCTACTCGCTACCCGCTTCTTGACTTGCCACTTTGGCACCAGGATGCCTGACACAATGAGACTTGCTTCATTTGGCAGTCCGTGGGCCTGTCTTGTTTTGGGTGCCACTTTTCGGGGTTGTGAAAAAGGGAAACCAGAAGGGAACCACTCATTGTTGGGGTCCTTGAGACAAACTCAGGTGGGTGTTTGGAAGATCGCGGATGATGCCTCCGTGGTGGTTGGCAGCCGTTTGCTCTGCCTCGGCAACTCCGAGCATCCGAAGCTGACGCTGCACCTCGAGCGGAAAGGGTTCGAATAGGGCTAGCTGGTGGACATGAGTCCCCACCTAAACAAAAGATGTCCACCAAATGTTCCACAATAAGATTCATGCCCATAAAGAAAGCAGGAAAGGTCATGTTGGGAAGATTGCCAAAAATGATTTGCCTGCCCTGCAAATGGTTAGTGTGCTTGAAAAGAATCCTTGAGAGAATCTACTCCAGCTGGGAAGCCACTCATTTTTCTCTTTACAAAGCTCAGCGCTCCCAGAGCTCCCCAGCCCCGCCCTGGTTCGGTTTGTCAGGGCTTGGTTTCGGGCTTCTTTCTAAGAATACATCCAGGTTAACGAAGAGACGGCCCAGGTACCTGCACGACGACAGGATGATCTCTGATACCATGCTGCTGGAGCATTGGGTGGAGTGCCTGATGGCCGGCATCTCATGGAGAGAGCACTTTTGCTCCAACTGTGAATGCCATGTGGCGCTTGTTCGCCACCCTAAATGAAGGCTTCATACTTGACTTGGCATCATGCCTGGACACTTTCCGGCCGACTGGAGGCCGGAGTTCCGGAGTTTGCTGTTTGCTTCCACCGTGATGGCGCGGTCCAGCCGGATGCCCGTTGCCGTGCATGGATCGCATGACCCCCCAAGTGGTCGGTTTCGTTTTGGTCAAATCATTCAAAGCGGTTGCCTATGTTGTGAGACACCTACATTTTGGACAGGTTTGCTGACGTGACCGAAGGGGAAGATGCAACATTGCAAGTGCGATTAAAGCACTAGGATACTAAAGGAGCAATGACTTGCACGAACTTCTCTCAGGTCCTATTCCCTCTACAAGCTCTCAGAGTTGCAGCGATTTCTGGAAGAGCGACTCTGGGATGCAAGCTTGACGCAGCGCTGAGCACTAATCACTACGTCGCATGCTTGGGCTGCAAGGAATGGAGCTAGGAAGGCGCGTCCAGATGACGTCCCAATCTTAATTGACACAGCTCCACCTTGCCAAGAGCAAACAGGCGCTCGGATAGCGTTTGATGACAAAGTTGATAGGTTGGAGGTGCTGCGGTGGATCAAGCGTCAGCAGTGCACTCAGAGCTTCTTTGATGATGATGATGATGATGATGATGATGATGATGATGATGATGATGATGATGATGATGATGATGATGATGATGATGATTCTTCGAACGGAGCTGTGGGCAGACGCAAGAGTGGATCAAATGTACAACAGCTCTTGCGGCTTTCAGACTCATTCAAAAGATTTGGTTATTTGGAGCTGAGAGGGGGTCCCTGTTTGGGGACACCCTTACCAAGTGCCCACCTCGAGGTGCCGGCTTGAGGGCTGCAGCTATTGGTTGTCCAAGGCTGGCAGTGAGTGCAAACTTCGTGTCCTACAGTTGGATATGAACGTCCTTTTTGAAGGTGTAGAAAGGGAAGCCAAACAAAAATCCAGACCCCTTCAGTTCATTTTCGATTTCACATGTGAAAAGGCAGCTTGCGGGTTGTTCATGCTAAGCTTCACATGGAGGGTGTCTAATTGTGCCTTTGCTGATGCAGGAATCTTCCATGGAACGCAGAGAGCCAGTTGCAGGGGAATCTCCTTTGGTGGAACCCCTTTCGGGGCTTCAATCAGTCAGCTTTGCGGGCTTGTTGGCGTACTTCTTATTTTGAGGCTACCCTTTTTCAGGATGGTTTGAAAGGACACCCAACGGAAGGCCACTATTTTTGGGGCACCCTTGTGCTGACACATACCCATTTTCCCACCCCTAGCCAGGGTTTTGGGGAGTCAGATTTGCAAGCGGCCATGTCAAAAAGCCTGAAGAGGACAAGAAAGATTCGTCCCTGAAGCTCATCAAGTCTCGGGCTCGGTCGCTGCAGCGCAACTGGTTGGATTTGAAACGACGCTTTGGGTTTTCTTTCGCCTTCGGGTGAAAGCAGAAGGTTGTCCAATGATGAGACACAAGATGACAGCAGGAGCCTTACTTGCAGTGCGGCAGCCCCTCACACATGATTTGTTTAAAAGGGGAAACCCCAGGTTGAAGCTACCTCGGGGGCATCAACCCAACGGAATTTTATGATTTGGGGATTGGCGAGTAGACGCACAGCCAAGGGCGCCAAGCTCTGGCAGACAGCAGCGCTCACCTTGAGAACATCTTCCGAACCAAGACGCATTTGCACTGCCTGAGGCGCGGTGGCAAGTGGCCTCGTGCTGAAGAACACCTTTCTCCACCTACCAGAGGAGGAATCGCGTGGCAACTCTTGGCCTGCCAAGCTGGCTGGGACTTTTGTCAGCCTAAGAATCAAAGTGAACTTCCAGAAAGGACTTGAAAAGGGGTTCCGGGTTCGTTACGATCTAGTCACCCAGGAATAGAAAGGCCCAAGCGACTTCGCAGGATGAAGCCGGAGACTTCCGGCGCGCCGCGGCCGTAAACGCGTCGCGCTTCCATCGCTTCCGTCGATTCGGCACGCTGAGGCGCTCAGCTGCCCGGCCCGTTTTCTGGGCAGCGACGACCCGTGTGAGCCTGAGAGAGCGAGTGAAAAAAACACAAACAGCGGGTCCCCGATTTTCTCCAAACCTGGAAGCGGTTGCTTGAAGGCAGCAATTCCTTTACTTCGAACGATCCGCAGCGTGCTCACTGGCGGGAGCTTCAGGGCTGTCTGTCACAAGCTCTGTCACCGCTGTGTGACAAGGTCTGTCGCAGCTGTTTGTCACATCTGTCTCTCGCAGGCTCTGCCTGTCGCAGGCTCTCACACGTGTTTGTCAGATCTGCCTGTCGTAGCGGCCCTGTCCCACAGCTGTCTGTCACAGTGTCACCTCTGTCTGTGAGATCTGTCTGTCGCATCTGCTTGTCAGATCTGTGTGTCGCAGGAGGTCGGACGTCGCTTCAAGTCCAACACCCCCAAACCTGTCGGGTGGGAAAAAACAACCACCGTTTCTTGGATTTTCATTTGATCTCAGGGGCACGATATGACTTGCCTAGACCTGCGCCTGACGTCGCCCAGGTGCCAGGTCTCGCCCTTCTGCAGCCGCGTGTCGGCCTTGTTCTTCCGAAGGGCGGTGTCTTCCAAGCGGGGTGCTCAGTCGTCTATGGCTGGGTTGGTTGCAAAGCCTGTTTAAACACTCGTCCCCTGGTTTTCTTTGAAGGGGAAACAAAAGGAGGTCGTTTCAACAATGGTGGCTTAAGCGTGTCTAACCAACAGGTTGGCTCCTTCCAATGATACCTGAGCCAGGATTTGTTGAGAGCCGCTGAAAAGCTTCGCATTTCCCAACCGGCTGTTGGTTTTCAAACTTGGAGCTTAAAAAAAGCAAGTAAATGCCAATTCCTGGTACGCCTCGTTATTAAACACAAATGAAACTGTTTTAGCCCCATTGGGATAGGATCGTTACTTTCTGCAAAGAGACCTGCCGTGCAGCGGACACCTTCGACACGCGAACTAGTTGTTGGCACAAGTCAAACCACGGGCTGTGCAGCTGGACGGGAACACCTGGGAAGGAGCAAACTGTTGGCTGCCCGGGCTTTCTCTTTCTGCCCGCCTCCCCCCCCCTCGGCCGTAGTCGGCAGCAAACGGGTGCTCTGAGTCTTAGAAGGCAGGCAGGTGCACGCGTGCCAAGCACAAGTTCCGTTTTAATTTAGCTCTTCAAATCATTGCCTCTGGCCTTGGGCAGTGGTAGAAAGCTCACAGCCGAAGGTGATTTCGCTGGAACGGCGCGCTCGGAATAGACCTAGGAATACGAAGATGAACCGCAATTCCTATCGAGTTCCTATTTCGAGAAACCAATCGGCGCGCAAGGATGTTGTCCCAATCGAGGCCGGGCCCGGATGCCGCGCGCTTCTTCCGGCAGGTCCTGGACCTTGAGGCCAGCCATTTTGCTAAGCCCCAAATGGGCATGTCCCAAGCGACAACCGCCAGCCTCCCAGACCTTGGCGAGCGGGGGACGTGCGAGGCCTTTGCCTCGTCCAACTCCGATGATGATGATAGGCGCGATCCTTGGTCTGAAGGCGAGACGGATACTAAGAGTAATAATTGAAGTTGGGGCTCCTTCGGTGGACATGGGGATTTATGTCCACCGACCATTTGGAAGGGTGTTCCCACTAAGAATCACAATCAATCTGGGGTTTGCTGTTGGGTTTGCTGGTGTTGTCGTTAACACCGTCCCTGCAAGTGGGGATCTCGAACTCGGAGGAAATAACAAAAGATATATCCATTCGCAAGTTCTAATTGGTTCAATTTGCAAACTTGGGCTGAGGCAAGGTCTGCTTGTTGTGGCATCCTCACATTTGCACAGAGGGCGAAAGGGGCAGGCAGATCGAGGGGGCAAAAGAGAGCGAGAGAGAGACAGAGAGAGAGAGAGAGGAAGAAATAGAGAGAGAGAGAGAGAGAGAGCGAGAGAGAGAGAGAGAGACGCAGGCTCTATGATGCAAACACTATGAGGGGGGCCTGAATACTTGTGCAAGTGTACAAAGGAGTTCAAGGATGTTCCGCTGAGAGATCGAATTCAAGATGAATCATCATCATACATTATCTTGCTTTTGTCTAGCAAAGCACTGCAAGGCCTCCCGAAGGTGTCACTGCTGGACGTGTGGCTTTACAGGCTGGGATTTCATTGTCAACCGAGATCCGGAATTGAGTCTATTGAGGTGCTGACATCGCGCAGCATGTTTGACACACATATGTGGCCCAACTCAATCTTGATGAACAGGCGCTCGACTCCTTAGTCTACTACAAACGTTTGTTCTCCTTGCCTGCAGGCTTGCAGTCACCTGGGTCTGGCCCTCTGCGAGCTATCACACGAGGACGACGCGGCCGCCTCGGCCGCGTCGTCCTCAGCATCCGCGTCGGCACGGGCGGCGGCTCTGCTGGGCCAACTGCGCCGCGACGTGCCCGCGGTCTGCGCCCGGTACCGCCTGCTGCCGATGTGGGCGCCCCCGCTATCCGCAGCTAACGCCGCCGGTTCCGCTGGTTTCGGCGGGTCCAGCGGTTCCAGCGGTTCCGGGGAGAGCGCCAGCTTCACAAGGCGAGGGCTGAGCTAGGTAGAGCGAGGTTTGGAGATCGCTTGAGTTTGGCATGGTTTTTGGCTTGGTTGGCTTGGATTAGTTTAAGGTGGTTTAAATAGACACGGCCACTGCTTGAAGACGAAGCTTGTGCTCGTTTGTCAAGCCACAGGAAGATTGAATTTGCTGAGCCTCGCAAACAGGGGCTTGAGCCCATTTAGTTGCAGAGAAATCATGCCAAGCGACAGTGGGCGCATCAGAGAAATCCGAACTCACGCGTACTGACGCCCTCAGGACGGCGTGGGCTCCGCTGCTCTTCGCCGCGCTGCCTCCTTGGCCCGGCGCCTCCGCGAAAGCGTCGCCCCCCGCGCCGCTGGCGACGGCGCTGGCGGCGGCGGCGGTGGCGCTGCGCCGCTGCGGGGACGCGTGGGCCTTGAGCCAAGTCAGCGAGGAGCCGATTCAACGGGAGAATGGGGTACGTGACGCAACTTGACTTTGGCTTCTATGTGAAGTGGCCATGTGTGAAGAAGCTTCCTTTTTGCGTGGTGATGTTTATGGGGCATACGAGGAGCCCTGAAGGAATGTTGGACAGTTCTGCTGGGTGGTTTGACATGGCCTTCAGAAGTGGTCCATTCCTCTCCTTTCCAGGTGGAAGCAACCACCTGGGAGGACATGGAAATCGTGTTTGGTTAGTCAGCAGTTTGTAGATCTCCGGGTTTTGTTAGTTGTCAGCTCGAGTAGGTTCCGTAGGGCCCAAATTCTAGATGGTTTCAGCAAGTTGCAGCAAACTCACATTCATGAGAGAGAAAACAACAACAGGGGAGAAGTGGGTGGAAAACAACTCACCGAACCTCCGCGTGGCTTGTCCAGAGGTGTGCTGGGCTGGTAAACCTTTCTCCTTTCGCCTTTCTCCTTTCTCCTTTCTCCTTTCTTCTTTCTTCTTTCTCCTTTCTCCTTTCTTCTCTCTCCTTTCTTCTTTCTTCTTTCTTCTTTCGTCTTTTGTCTTTCTTCTTTCTTCTTTCTTCTTTCTTCTTTTTTCTTTCTTTTTTCTTTCTTCTTTCTTCTTTCTCCTTTCTCCTTTCTCCTTTCTCCCCCCCCCATGCAACCTAGGCATATAAAGCGCTTCCCATGCGAATACCAAGGGAATCTCCTCCTTCAAAGCATATCACCGGAAAAGTCATTTTCCACAATGCTGCGCGCATTGTCCTTTGGTGAGCCTTCCAGAATTTCTTTGTTCGAAGTGGTTGAGTCCGGGCCCCCGGTTGGTGTAAGGGAAAACGAGAAGGAAGACCCACCACTTCGGGGGGTTGCCCACATCTGTTTTGCCCGCACCACCTCATTTTTTGGGTCATTCTATTGCACAAAGACACAAAGACCGCCGCCTTCGAGGAGGACAGGAAGCGGCTGGAGGCCTTGGCGGCGCCCACCTCGGCCTTGGCGCTGCTGCGCCTGGCCTCGCTCGCAGGCCCGGAGGAAGCGGTGGCTGTTGGGCTGGGGACTGGGTGGGTGGGTGGGTGGGGGACTGGGGTCGATGGGGGATTTTTGTGGAGAGTACCCTTTTGGGGTGGTTTAAAGCATGAATTCAAAGGGATGCCATGCATTTGCGGGTATTTTTGGAGTGGTTGGAAGGGACCCGTTTTGTCAGCTTCCCGTTTGGATCTTTCATAGGTGGTCTTAAAGGGAAGCCAAAGTGATTCTCCTATTTTAACACACCGTGTGTTTGTGTGCTTTGGAGGGCATGGGTTCCCTATCTATCTAGACACACACACACACACACAGCCACACAGACAAGACAGCAATTTGTTTCAGCATGGCTATGAATTTGAATGGTTGGACCGCCCTGAACGATGATGGGCGCAAACAAACCCCCATGTAAATGATGTCTACCAAACCGGTCCCCACTTGGAATTTGGACCTGTTGGACAATTTGTGTCAAAATCGGCTTATCCGAAGCAGCCAAAAAGGTACCCTCAAAGGGAGACACAGACACACACACACACCCACACACAAGGGAGGGTCCTCCAATTTAAGATGCACTCCAATCGACTTCAGTTCGTTCATCCTGAGGTTCACTGTCGCAAAGAAGACAGGCTGGAACGCTCAGATTGCTTGGATGTTCACTATGGACCAGTCTAAACCGCAAATGCGCGATCGACTTTTCTGACCCAAATTCTCAGAGTGCGTGTGTGTGCGCGCGTGTGTCTGAGGGAGTCCGTGCGCACGACAGATCACTGAGCTCTTAAAAGGTCCAACTCTTTCTACAGCGCTTTCGCTGTGCAATGAATGCGGGGCGCCAGACCTTTGGCATCGCTCGTTGGGTATCTTTTCCAGAGGGCGGTTAGCGCATCTCAGATTCACTCCGCCCCCCGAAGGGGAGACGCCTGCGGCCAGGACATGATATGGCGAGCCCTCGTGGCCGGAAGGAAGTTTGGGTTGCTGGACGTGTCGTCATCACCTCAGGATGCTTAAGGGGGATTCTCAAAATGGGATCCTGTGAAATGGTTGGTTTCCTTCTGGCTGCCCCTTTATGCAAACACAAACCAAAAGGGAATCCACCATTTTTAGAAACTCCCACACCTGGGAGGGCATTGTTGATCTTACATGCCCTTTGGGAACCCTCCAAGTGGGTCACACCGTCCCCTGTGATTGATGACAGGGCAGCAAAGCTGGAGTGAAACCATTTTTTTCAGATATTATAATCTCCGCGCCTTTCGATCTATCTTCTAGGCCAGGGCCAGACGTGCAGCCGCTCTTTGCACACCTTCCGTCCAGAGAGGACTGGATTGCAACATGAGCGTTTCAATTGAAATTCGGAACTCCCCTTGGACGGCATTCAAGAAGAAGGCACGAGGAAATCAGCCAGTTTGGTGCCTCCCCATTTTGGACATGCCCAAATGAGTGGGGCTTCTTGGGGTTGGTTTCAAGGGAACCTAGAAAGACATGTTTGGAGGGGGCTTACCCGGGTCAACCTAGAGTAAGTTGTCCCACGCGTTGAGAATGGTCGGGAGGGATGCAAGAGAAACGGGCCGCGACCGGAGATGTTTAGCGCTGTAGGAGCTGCTTCTGCGGTTGGAGC